AGACGACGTTGAAGCGGTGGTGGAAGGACGGTTGATGCGGTGGAAGTGGGACGCAGGAGGGAAGCTTACTCCATAACATTATAAGTTATACAGTTTTCTTCGTCAATGCGTAACACTCCGCCGATAGAGTCTGTTGCATTGAGGTTTCGTCCACGTGAGCCCTTGACGCTTAGCAGCTGTCATTTGCAAAGGCAATGCATCACTCGCGATTAATCATAATCAACAATGTTCACTTCATATATTCATGACGACCAACCCATTCATTCCCTTTCATTTGCACTTTCATTATCGCGGATTCTCACTGATCACAGGCCGTAAGGCAATTTCTGTTCTAATCACGGATGATTGATTTTTCCGGTGCGAACGTTCCCTCATCTGTTGTGTGGGGTCAACAGTTACGGTCGTTTCTTTAATCTTTCTGGGCTTGCAGCCATATGTATGAAGTACCCATTCGTTCCTGAAGGCTTGAACCATTGCGTCCGATTGCTCCATGTAATTCTAGCCAGTGATAATTGCGCTTTTTATAGTAGTGCAGTTATTTTCTTGTCAAAAGCATGTGATGTGAAAAGACACTCATGCATGCGCATTATTAACCCCTTGTTTGGGTTATTATAAACAGAGATGCAGTTTCCACTTAGTTGAATTTATGTTCACTGCGCCTGTCGCTAATCCTCACGTGATTTATATTTTAAGTAAAGAAAATCTCTGTGTCGGTATTCTTTGTCTTGCTAGCTGATTCATCTGGAATGCCAAATGCTCCGATGAAGGTACATCACTCACCAGGAGACAGAATCTCTTACTTAGATCCGTCGCTTGTGCAACTGTTTACAATTGCCATAACAGGCTATCAGGTAAAAAATCAGTAGAGGTTGAAACTTTGACGTCTTCGCGTGAAAAAGTTGTTACGCCTTCTCCAAGTGGAGTAGACCAGATCCTAATGAAATCCAAAACAGCGCTGCAGAAAATGTTCAATTATTCGCAAAGGTCTAATTTAATAAGTGGAATATGTTTATCTTACGTAGAACAATCTAGCATACAGCACTGCCGGACATATAATGTCAATAATAAGGAGCGAAATTGAAAAATTCCCAGTTTGCATGAGGATAACCAGATTTAAAATGGAAAACTTGCATCTCCAGCTTAGTCAAATACGCAAGAACGAAAATGATAGAAAGATTAGATGCAATTTTTTCATCGTATGTGAATGTCAAAACATTTACTTGGATGATGATCTGCTATTAATAGACCGTGTACCGGATAAACTACTGATTTAAATCGATGAAAATATCAGTAAAAACTTATTTCTTGCAAACTATGGTTATCGGTTGAGAAGTTTAAAGCACTTATGACGAATCTTACCAATCGTTTCACCAAAGAATCTAGGATGCCTAAGGAAACTGCGTATCCCTGAGGCCCATTGGCGTTGGCTCAATGGTTGGTGTAACTCTTTAAAAGTTGACACAGTACTCCGTTCACGTAGTGGGAGGATTCGACACGAGACGGTACGGCGCCGACCGATAATCGTTGTCAACGTGAAACGCGTTTGATCCTATTTGATCGGACTGTGGTCATCTCGAACAACTGTAATATCTAACCCAGCATAGTATACATCTGTGAGAAGCTCGCCGTGAACAAAATGTTGAACCTCTGTCAAAGTAATGAATTTCTCAGATTCAAAGCCGTGGCAGTAAGTTATAATATCACTTTATGATAATGAATCACAAAGGATACTATCCTTGCGTCTGCATCTAGTAATGCAAAGTTTACTCCTATAAAATATTGTCTTTCTCTTCTTTTCATATTCCATTATATCCTATACGAAGAGACAATAGGCGATCAGCAGTCAGTCAGTGAGTTTCGATGACAACTTATCCTTTCAGGCAGACAAGACAGACTCATCACACTATCTTTATCGCTCCCGGTCCCGTGTTATCGTTCTAACTTTGGGGAAAATACCCTGAGTCTAGTGCCGAATCGTCTTTCCGTGCATTTGCCAAAAGTTATTTATGGTCATGCCCGTGGTCTCTTGCCGTCTGGCAGTAGAAGATCCTTACGATGTGATGGAGCTTATTCATGATTTAAATACATTGTTCGCCTCACATAGAAAGAATGTGTTATCTGATGCACTCTCTATTTCGACTGAGTTCATATTTGGAACATCAAATGAGGAAAGAATGACATCTCCAGAACGTTTTGAATCAACATTTCCCGCACAGTTATAAATTTTAATTTACATATGGCAATAAACAGTTATCATAATTGCAAGAAATAAAATAATAAAGAATGACGTAAACAAAAATTTGTAGTCCTGATGAACAATACCACAAGCATAAAGTTATACTTTGCACTTATACACATCATTGATAAGGTCTGTGTCACTGGCATACATATATAAAATTTCTTTCATTCTCTGATATACGTCGAATAAGTGAGGTTGCTTTGTCATCTTCCCGTTTTTTGAATCGACATACGGAGACCGGTGTAGCGTTGAAAACCTCCCATATATCCTGCGTGCTCCCGAAGTAAAATATCCTTCTGGAAACAGGTGCATTGGATAGAGGCTTTCCTCTTCTCGTTTCTCTATAGGATCACACTTCAAGAAACAATATCAACACGTTTTATAATTCATTAAAAGATGTTGAGTCTTGTTAACATAACAGGATAACCCTCTTCTAACTTTTCATCATCATGTTAGCTCAGTATATGAATCTCTCTATAGCAACGAGAACATTTTATGTGGTATGTGCATGGTTTCTTGATATTCAAAGACAATATCACTGTTTATTTCGCATAAGACCGGTTTACAGTGGCATATGCTTTCAACAGTTTGCTTAAAATAATCTCCTGAGTTTTGCCTTACGTGCTACCAATTATTTAAATATGGTGTTCCATTCTGTTATGTATTATAAATCTTTTTCCAAATTCCTTAGAAACTCTTTCTCCCCCATCGATAGATCCATCCGACATCTACGCATTCAAATATTTTTTAATTCTATTTTTCTTCGCTTCTCAGAATATGTATTCAAGTATACTGCTTTAATGGCTACTAGACTTACGGCACTGAAAAATGGCGCACAACTTTAAAAAAACACTGTGGTCAGTCCACGAAAAGGCTTCTAGCTCTGATACTGTGGACTGCTGCTGAGACCAACTACATTCTCGAAGCTTAGCCACCAACTTACCTTGAAGAAGGTCCTTAAGCAGAGGCCGAATCGTCGGTATTGGTAAGTCACCGAACCGACCATAGTATCGTTAGCGTTGTTTATAAGTAAGCGGTGTTTTGCACTTTTTTCAGTATGACCACCAACACATGAACGGATTACTGTACCTTTGGATGGACCTATAGTACGGCGTATCGAAGTATTAGAATTTCTTGTCTCATTCAGCATGCTATCAGAGTTTGAGTCACGCTGTATCTGTTAGTCTCGCGTATGACTTACTGATGGCGACTTTTTTGAAGAGTGCATGAGGGTACTTCACTCTATATTTCATTTCGCTGTACAGTGCCTCTTGTAATGATTGTCCAAAGCTAGCCTTTATTGTGTCCATCTTTTTTCAAGTTCACAATACTGCTATATAAGACGTTTTCAGCGATATAACGCTGAAGGACAATACACACCACCGACAATGCTTAAAATCATTTGTTTTGCAGTGAATTTGGAAATCAATGTCGAAGGAATAGGCTTTACTTGAATTGAAATCATTCTGATGGAAATTCGTTCAACATAGAAAGGGAGTTAGGAATCAGCATTTGATGGACTTGACACTTCGTTTCTGCTAACAGAACATCATGGACAAATCTAATGTAACAGTTTCTGTTGATGCAAAGGAGATTTTAGATCTACGCTTTATGTATTTTAATCAATCAGTTAAAGTTTATTCGCGTAGGTAAACGGACCTGTCATCGGAACATAAAGAATTCACTGCCGCCTGAACCAGCAGTATTTTGGGAAGGTGACAGTGGTACAGAAAATGCCTTCATTAGCCACCAGAGGGAATTAAGTGACTTCTTATCCGTTTAATATCATGCCAGTAAAATATACAAAGCTTCGCCAGACTTCTTGTGATACCCCAAATATCTCTACGTATCACGAGACACCATAATAACATTGGATTTAGCGTCCACTGCAAGTCAGGCAGAACATTGGGGGGGGGCATTATATTTAAAAGTACACGGTCATTTATAAATGTGAAGAAATATTAAAAAATGTATTATGCAATGTTCAATGCAGAGACTGTGACAAGGTGTACATTGGAGCGAACAACCGGAAATTGAACATCCGGATTAAAGAGCATCTTTTATCTGTTTGCCTTAGGCAGGCTGACAATTCCGGTATTGTCCAACGTACGGCTATTAAAGATCATTCTTTCGGTCAGACTGATGATTCGATGTGTCGTGTTCACACAGTTTCAAAGAACTATACTGGTCTGAAATATAAAATGATGAATCAACAATTACAAAATGAGTCGGTTTTCCGTAGGGAGAAATCCTTCATTTCGTGAACTCAAGCTCAAGGCATCAATCGATGTATTTGGCATTTGTTAAGCGGCGTTTTGTTCTATGCCAGATTGGAAGGAACGCATTGTAGATAGCTTCACAAGAATTATTTGATCGATAACAGCTGAAGAGCAATCACGAAAAGAAATGCGGCTTCAATTTTCTGAGCGGTGAAATGAACCTCAGTGAAATAACCAAAGGCTACAAAAGACATTCATATCACGCTGTAGACCTCAGTTAAGTTTTAGCACTCTAAGACTTCAAGAGATGCGTTGACTTGCTTAGCCTCTAGTGCATTGCAACTGCTTCACGCCTGAGCATTAACAAAATAGTATCGTTTACCTGGCTTAATATTTTCTCTGTAGTAAACGAGGCGGTGTCCGCTGTCAGGTCTGGTATCCTCGTGAACCAGCCCCACCACATGAAGGATGAGATGCATTGTCACCGCCGCGTTGTAATTCTTCGGAATGTTAACCTCACTTTTTCCAGGCTTTGATGGCTTACCAACTGGAGCATAGGCGCTAGAATAGAATTCGATAAATAATAATATAATATATTTAGACATACAATTGATCACTGCTCTTGATATAAATATAGTATTCCTGACTAACGTAAGGGACGAACTTAACGCATGTCGAAGACTCAACTTGCGAAATCGCTTCTTGTAAGTCCGATTGTAAGTTTTTATCTGAAGTCAAGACTTAAGAAACTTTACACTCGTTTTCCAGTTATTACCAAACGCTGTGTCCACGAGGTACGGAATCATGCCGCCGTCCCATATTTTTATGTTTCTCATTCCTTCCTGAAATGAAACTACTAAGCGTAATTGTTCAGAATTGTCTCACAAGTCATCTTGGTAGTTCTTCTTGCCTTTAAAGTCTTTCCATTTAAGAGCATATCACCTTGGAAGTAGCCTAAAATAAGACGTGGTAGTCAAAAATTCGCTACAGAACTTGTACCTGGTAAATTTTGACCTTCGATTTGTCCCGTTGGGAAACTGCCTGAAATTTTTAGCATAGATGAATTTAGTAATCAATGAAAGTTACTTGAATTTTCTCTAGGCAAAGCTTCTGCCTACATTTTAATAGATTTAAATGAATAACGTAAATAAACAATTGGTTACTTCTCGAAAATTGAGGATCAGGAAAGCGAAAACAGGCAAAAAACCCATGAACAACATATTTATTGTCTATTGCCAACAATGCAGACTATCCGCATCCACAACTTGCAGATCCGTCCTTCTAGTCTTGGTTTTGTACATGTTGATGTCATGCATGGTGATGGGAAATTATTACCAAAATATTTATCAAGAGTAAATATTTTGAACAAACAATTTGTTTTCCTACATTTCTGGAATACATGGAGATGCGAGGAAAGTAAGTGTGCGTCAGGGTTGATGACATTGTACGACATTTGACAACAAGGATTGATAAAAGAAACCATTCGCTACTGCAATCACTTGAACTCTGCTAGCGGACAATTCTCAGTTCTGTTTTTCGACAATATCTTGCCCGCTTTTGATAGATAGCTGGACAAATAGCAGAGTAAGAAAGATATGTTGATGAAGCATAATATCTGGCAGATTTGAAATTATCCTTAGATTTACTCCAACATGTTTTTGAAAGTACAATAGAAATTAGGTTTGATTATGTACAACTCAGACAACATGTCATCCACAGCAGTTGATGGTTTCGGAACCAGAAGGCAAGCTTTGGGTTCATGCTACTGTTACATAGTTTTTGAAGGACAGGGACAACGCGGCTCATCCAATCGGATGTCCGTTGACGCGGAAGACGTTTAGGCAGGATTGAGTAATTAATGCCGCTTTAAAGAGCCTCTGTAGCCAATGTTTCTCTTAGGTAATGCCGCTACATTGAGGTAATCAATGGAGAAGGGTGTCCTTGGTTGGCGGCGAGTTGCATAATCCCGGAGGTCTTCTCGCTTTGTTCCTTCCTTGACTTTGCTGGAGGTCGTGGTATTGCTTTCTTCCTGGGTCCTTCGCTTCCACGTTCTACGCTGTTTTTCATTATGACCACCAACGCGCGAATGAAATATTCTACCTTCGAACGCTCGTCTCAGTATGATATTAAATGCTCCAGCCAGAGTTTAAGGATAGACATTTATATGTCCGTTTCAACCTTTCTGTTATTTGTAAACAGTAAATGAAATTGAAATTTTCATTTTACATCCAATTGGACCAATCAGTAAATGAATTTCAAGTTTTCAGGCTATACTGTTTACTGTTTGAAACGAAATTAGGATAGAAATATATTTTTCAACAGCGTAATTGCTATATTCCGTTTTTCTACGGTATTCATAAACTTTTTCTGAACTATTTATTATTATACTCAGGAAACTGATGAATATCATTGCCGTCGTACAGCATTAAGATATTATACGGATACGTCATTTAAAGACAAGATTTAAACGACACGGAAAGACGTTTGTAGCATAACATTTTACAAGGCTTTTGCAAAGTTTAGCACGATAACAAACTGCCCAACATCAACCACATTCTTGATAAATACACAGAATTTTCAACTATAGGTGCACCTCGTTGTTTTGCATATTAATAGGTAAACAGTACGTTCAAAGTAAGAATCTTTAATATAGGGGTGACATTTTTCCATTTAGTATTCGTTCATCTAATCATATTTACAACGATTCTGGTAGTCGATCATGATATGTAGCTTTGACCTTCTTTTCTGCTTCCACAATTTCTATTCAGTCCAACAGCGTTTCACACATCAGTGCACTACTCTGTATGTGGAAGCCGCAGTATACATCCTTAAGACATTTCTCAACGGCCAGCCGGATTCCAAATGCTGCTCGGTTCATCATGGTCGTCTCTTCGTAAATGCGCACACCCACCCTTGATGCATGGCGTAGTGACACTCGGAAATTGTTGACCACGAACTCATAAGTTAAATGGTGCCTTAGCCTCAGGAAGTTTGAGGATCAAAGCCCTAATTCCTGTGCGCATTGCCGTCGCTACACCTTATTCATGATAACTTCCCTGTTGAAGTTCAGTGTAGTAAAAAGTTACAGTTTGAGGAAGTGATTGCGTTGTCGCACTCAGGCCAGATCGATATTCGATACCTTCACACACTCCTCTACAACGATGGAGCTTGTCTCTCGATTTATGTGTTATATATGGTGGATTCACATCGAATCCATGTGGATCTCAGAAGTCGCCGAAATGTGTTCCTCAGCGGCGGGCTGTCACTGCCGCCAGAAAGTGGCAGCGAAACCGTAGTCGTCTATTTGCTGACTCGTCCTCAGTGGCGGGACACTGCTGGTGTTTTTGGGCCGAGGTCATTCGTAATATTGATTGAATGGCGCTGTCATTGCACTTCAGCCGGTGTACGAAAACGTCCTGCTTTCTTGCCTCCACTTCTGGTGGCACTAAGCGTAAGAGATATGGGGCATCCGGGATGTTCTCAACGATTCTGCACGGTCCACACAGTGACCATGTGAGTTTCGAGCTTCGACCTCTCGTCATGGTCGACACAAGTCACCAGACTTGATCACCCTTCCACCCTTGCGAACGTCTGAACTGACGAAGACGGACACCAGTGCTTTGATCGATTGTAGACCATTCCCCAACGTTGGCGTAGAAGCAAAACCGCCTCCTACATTCACCTTCGCCTTTTGTATGAAAATTGCTGGCGGTTTCACAGCACTACCTGGGTTTTCATACACTATTTTCATAATTTAGGAGACCTCTCGCATGAACATAAGAAAATTCTTACTGTCACAAAGTTCCGATACAACGACGACGAATAGCACTTCCCTTTAGGTCGTACTGTAGCTTTTCTCCGCTGCCGTCAGGGTGCAGTTCGCATACTTTATCACCTGCTCCGTTCTCTCGTGCAGTTGTGACATTGTGCACAACCATGGTAACTTGCATCGAAATCAGCGATCTATCTTGAGTACCCTGAAGACAGTCTCTGTTTTCGAAATCCGGAAAACCTAGTGGCCTCTCATTACCAGTGTAGAGATGATGTACTCTTTGAGTACCCTG